CCAAAAAACAAAAAAATCTGTCTATTAGTAGTAGACTGGCTCAGTAGATTATGGTATATCTTTATAAAAATGGATGGTAAACCTGTTTGTGTGGAAAAGATAGCTAAGGTGGGTTAGTTTGTGAAAAACAAGGTGTAGAGCTGTCTGCACAGTTTGATTATCTTTAATTCTAAACTCATAGTTAAATGTATGCTGTCATGGGCATAGTTTTTTTCTTGGTGAGGAATGCAGTAAACAGCAACTGAAGAGACAGTGGGGTGGGCTTTCCAGCCATGTTTATTTCCTTTGTGGTAACAGGGATTGTCCAGGTGATTGGCTGTGGACTGCTTTTATTTTGTTCATCCTTTTTCTTTTCCTTTCCCTCATATTTCTATGCAAATACAGCCTACTAACTGCTACTAGGAACAAAAAGAAATGATGTGGAAGAAAATGTGTGATTCTTAAATTCCCTCCCCATTGCAACTCTGTTAATAACTTTGTGTTCTTTCATTAAGACCCCTGTTCAGATTAAAGAATTTGGTGCAGTGTCAAAAGTAGACTTCTCTTCTCAGCCTCCATATAACTATGCAGTCACAGCTTCTTCTAGGGTAAGTGTAAGAGAAAATGTCTGTTTTTATTTTGTATCATTTACTGCTGATCCTGAGCCATCTAGTGAAATACTGGTTTTTATCTTACAGATTCATATTTATGGCCGGTACTCTCAAGAACCTATAAAAACCTTTTCTCGCTTTAAAGACACAGCATACTGTGCTACTTTTCGACAGGATGGTCAGTTGCTTGTCGCTGGCAGTGAAGATGGTGTAGTTCAACTTTTTGATATCGGTGGCAGGGCTCCCCTCAGGCAGTTTGAAGGCCATACAAAGTAAGAGACAGTTTTACCTGTTTTGATTTGTTTTGTTCTGGTGAAATCTCTCTCTAGACTTGGAATAAGCACATAGTAATTCTATGATTATACTTGTATGTACTTTATTTCCTGTTCTAAACAAAGAGCTTAACATGAGTCCCATGGTCCACTTCATGGAATTCATGACCTCTCTGTCCTTGTGTATGATATTTTAGAAAATGCTCACCTAGGAGAGGTGCTATGGCTTTCATTAACTTCTCAGTGAACCTGTGACCCAGTTGAAGACATGAATCCACTAATCTGAAGGTCCCTGCAGTTAAACAATTGCTTTATAGACCTGGACTATCTCAGATCCTCTTTTGTTGAAATCAAATTGGATTTATTTTCTTTGATTTGTGGTATTTGGCCCTTGATAAATTGAATTTTATAATGTTGTTTAGGATTACTAGTGTTGTTGCTGAAATCTGCTGTTGATTTAAAATGTCAGAAGTGTTTTTTATTGTAAACTATCAGGATATTTGTAGCCCCTCATTGAAACACGAATAACAGAAATTCTCCTAACAATTCTTTGTGGCAAGTCTTTCCACGCAGAAACTTTTGAAAGTGCTTTTTGAATTATTTTTTTTAATTAAAGTACCTTTGCTATAACATTTGGAACTTGATTTTCATTAATTATTAACATTCTAGAAAGTATAATTTTAAGGCTGTTACTTAATATTCTTATATTTTCAGACTGGCCTAGGGACAAATACCCATTTTTTTTTTTTTTTTAGTATTTTTTTCATATTTTTTTTTTAACTTAAAAAATGTATTGAGAATTTCATACATGCATATAAGGTATTTTGAGCGACTCCACACCCACTCCCCCCACCAACTCCTCCCTTATCTCTTTTTGGTATTTTTTTGCTTGGTAATGTATTGACCTTTGATCTTTTCAGAGCAGTTCACACAGTAGATTTTACAGCTGACAAATACCATGTGGTCTCTGGGGCTGATGATTATACAGTTAAATTATGGGACATTCCAAATGCTAAAGAAATTCTGACATTCAAAGAACATTCTGATTATGTGAGGTGCGGCTGTGCCAGCAAACTGAACCCAGACCTCTTTGTAACAGGTCAGTGCACTCTTTCTACTTTTATTGCTATGGATCCTTTGGGGATTGGGAAGTTATTATTATTTTTAATAGAGCTGAGGGTATAACAGTGTTAAAGTATTTAACTAAGCCAGGCGTGGTGGCACACGCCTTTACTCCCAGCACTTGGGAGGCTGAGGAAGGTGGATCTCTGTGTGTGCAAGGCCAGTTTGGTCTACACAGCTGAGTTCTAGGTCAGCTGAGACTACAGGGAGACCCTGTCTCAAAAAGACCGAAAAAAAAAAAAAAGAGTATTCAATTAGTATTATGAGGCTTTAGGTTCAATTCCCAGTACCATAAAAAATAAAATGGTTTGATTAAATTCCATTATTTTTTTATTTTCTTTTTCATCTTTTGATAATGGGTTTTCTTGTCCTCTTGAAAGCATCTTAGACTGTCAGACTTCAAAGGACTTGGTACCCTGGGAGCCCCCAGCAGCCATAGCACTTCAGGTGTAGCTCAGTTTTTGTGGGTGCTTATACAGAGCCCCAGGTGATGGAGCTATACAGTTAGGCTCTGTGTAGCATTATATATAGCTTCAGAAACCACCAGGAGTGCAGAAGGTTGGAAGTGCTGTCTTTATGAATATATACTTAAAAAAAACTCATCTCGTGTGAAAATCGCAAAAACTCACTAAAATCTCATCTAATGGTTTTCTTCTTTTAAAATTTTATATGTGAATGCACACAATTTCTGTTCTTTTAAAAAGGAGAATTCACATAGTGTAAATATTGCCATTTCAGGGTCATATGATCATACTGTGAAGATGTTTGATGCCCGAACAAATAAAGATGTTCTCTGTGTAGAACATGGACAGCCCGTGGAGAGTGTCTTGCTTTTCCCCTCTGGAGGCCTTCTGGTGTCTTCAGGTATTGCTTTTCAAAGTAGCTTTCGCCAATATTGTTCATCTCAAATAGATTTGATTTTTTTATCAGTTGTCATTTATAAATTGTTTGTGTTCCCTTGAATTACATACCTGAGTTTTTCTTAAATAGTTGCTAATGGGGCTTGCCAGTATTTGTCATTTACTGACTGCTAACTTGAACTAGCACTGTGCTGTTGTATGCATGTTATCACTGTCCTAGATAAACCTATGAGGTAGTTAACTTTCTTCCTGTTTACAACTATGAAAATAAATAAAAGCTTCAACTAAGCTGGCAAACTGGTGAGTGGCAGGTCTGAAATCCCAGGACTTGAGAGCCTAGATTGTGATTTGTTTTGTTTTGTTTTGTTTTGTGTTTTGAGACAGGATCTCCTTGTATTCCCAGCTGGCCTGGAGCTCACTATGTAGACAAGGTCTGTCTCAGTCTCACAGACATCTGCCTGCCTCAGGCTCTGCCTCCTGAATGGTGGAATTAAAGATGTGTGCCACCATGCCTGGTTAGATTATGTTCTTAAATCTGATCCCAGAGGTCTATTCTATACCCCATCTATTGTGTTTAGCTAAGAGATCTGCAGCAGCTTTGGAAGCATTCTTTTGGGTATAGAATCACACTTTTCTCCTTTCATGTGAAACCCCTAGTAAAACCTTCCTATCCAGCAAACAGCCAGTGTGCTGGAAGAAGAGATAAGAGTTTTAAAAAGGCTTCGGTGCTGGGCTGGAGAGATGGCTGCTCTTGCAGAGGACCAGTGTTCAGTTCCCAGCACCCACATAGCAGCTAACAACCATCTGTACCTCCAGTTCCAGGGGATCTGACACCTTTTCTGGCCTCGAGAGCATTGTACACATGTGGTACACCTACATATATGCAGGCAAAACACTCATACACACACGTACACACAAAGGCCTCAATGCAATTTTCACCAAACTGGAATTAAGAGGGTTTTGTTTCTGATTACCACAGTGCATTTGTATAATCATAGTAGAAATAGATTGACTTTTTCCATTTGTCAGTAAACTGTGTTGATACCAGAAGAACATATGCATGACACTATGTGTAGCTTTACTTGTTTTGTCCTCTTTCCCCAGTACCTGTTTGATTTAAAAATAACTTTATGTCATTGTCAGGCATAATTTTTTTCTTGCCGTTTTGAGGAATGGAAATTAGAACAAGTAGGATAGGAAGAATGGAAATCTGTACATTAATTCTCACTGTGGCATCAGCTAATTGTGTGACCTTGGGTAGTCCCTTAATAGTGCTATGCCCTGAGAAAGCGGTCAGATTAGGTCAGTGATTGCAAACTGTACTCTCTCATAAGCTGCCACATGGGAGTGGGAAGATGGGCACTGTGATTGAGCTCCATCCTGTGCCCCAGACAGGGCAGATAAGAGTGGCATTCTTCCTCCACACACTCATTTTTGTTTTCTTTCATAGGCTTTTGCTTGGCATTTTATTGAAAGAAGATATTGAATTAAAAAAATACTGGGACTGAGTTACCTTTTAAAGATCTTTTGAAAGCCGGGCGTGGTGACGCATGCCTTTAATCCCAGCACTTGGGAGGCAGAGGCAGGTGGATCTTTGTGAGTTCAAGGCCAGCCTGAACATAGTGAGTTCCAGGACAGCAGGGGCTACAGAGAGACCCTATCTCAAAAAGACAAAAAAAAAAAAGATCTCTTGAAGTCTTAGAGTAAAATTACGGGAAAGTTCTTTCGTTTTGTTGGGGTTTGTAAAATTTTTAGGTAGCAAGATCTACATTATTGATTTCCATTACTATATAGTATTTCTTTTAAACAGTGGACTCATAATTTTCTTAAAATATTTTTTTAGTACCTTGTTAATTTTCTGTATACTTAAAATAAGAAATAATACAGTCATATTAGTTTTGTGAGGTAGGAACTGTTGTTACTAGGCACACAGTAAGTGGTGGAGCCAGGTTGTAAACCAGCTGGTCTGCCTCTGGAAGCCCTCACTTAGCTTTCACTTTAGGAAGGTCCAGTGAAGAGTGTTTTTCAGATCTCTAAACTTTGAAATATAAAGGCAGAATATCAAACTAACAGTTATTTCTCTTTCAGGAGGTCGTTATGTTAAAGTCTGGGACATGTTAAAAGGAGGACAGTTGCTCGTGTCTTTGAAAAATCATCACAAGACTGTGACATGTTTGTGTCTGAGCAGCTCTGGACAGAGGCTCCTCTCTGGCTCACTGGATAGGTTAGTGTTTTTAATTTTTCTTGTTCATCATTATTAGTGTTTACTGTTTGAAAAAATGAGTTATTTTAGCAATATTTGTGATAAAATTAAAATTATAATCATTTTCATAGGAGATAACATCTGTTGAGTTGAAAATACTTTTGACCTTTTATAAGCAGCTATATGTAAAACCACTTATTTTCTCCCTGGAAATCATTTATCTATTGCATCAGCTTATGTTTTAGCAAAATTGTTGACCTACTTGAACATTAGTTATTTTAAATCTGTTTCCTATAGTTTTAAAATCACTGAATAGATATTGGACTTTTTATTGTGACTATATAGTCTGGGTTACATTCTTTAAAACCTCATGTGAATATTTCTATACATTAATATGGTATAAATATAATGAGTTATAAGTAGATTTATAGAGGACTTAGGGGCCTAGCTCAGTGTTTGACACATACCATAGTCCAAGTCCTGAGTTCCATCCCCAGCACTGAAAAAAGTCAAATAAATAATCTGGCCGGGCATAGTGGCCCATGCCTTTAATACCCATATATGGGCGGCAGAGGCAGGTGAGTTTCTGTGAGTTCAAGGGCAGCCTATTCTCCGTAGTAAGGTCAAGCCTAGCCAGGGCTATATAATGTGACCCTGTCTCAAAAACCATGTAAGATGTCAGTTTTAAGTATTCTACTTAAAAACATCCACTATGAATCTGCTGCCATGCCACCCCTGCTCTGGGATGGAATGATTAAAAAGCTAAGTGAGGGGCAGCTTGTCTGCAAAGTGGTCATGCTCATGGTAGAGATGAGAGAACTTGATTTTAAACATCTGCTTATAACCAGGCATGGTGGCATACACCTTTAATCTTGGCATTCTGGAGGTAGAGGCAGGTGAATTTCTGTGAATTTAAGGCCGGCCTGTTCTTCATAGTAAGTTCAAGCCTAGCTAGGGCTATATAATGTGACCCTGTCTCAAAAAACATGTAAGATGTCAGTTTTAAGTATTCTACTTGTTGATATTCCAAAACAGTGTTGTTCAGTAAAAATATAATGAAAGTGCTGGGTGTGATGATACACTCCTTTAATCCCATATGCAGATCTCTGTGAGTTCCAGCTAGCCAGGGCTACATAGTATGACCCTATCAAAAAACCCAAGCAAGCAAACAACAACAGATATGTACACACATATATGCATATAAAATGCAAGCTATATAGGGAATTTTAAATGCTTTAGTATCTATATTAAGAGAGGCTAAAATGAAGTTACTTTGGGGGGGTTCTTTTTGAGACAAGGTCTGCCTGTCTAGCCTGGCACTTGCTGTTATATATAGACTAGGCTGGCCTGTATCTCAATGAGACACACAGATCTGCCTGTCTCTGCCTCCTGACTGCTGGGACTAAAGGTGTGTACCACCATGCCCAGTGGTAAAATAACTTGTAATAATAAATTTTATTTGACCCATTATCTCATATAAAAGTAAAATATATAATACATGAAATATCATTTCAACATGTAGTCAGTGTACTTAATAAGACATAGAAATGAGTTTAGATCTAAAATGTACTATCAGCTCAGTTTTATTTTGCACACTTGAAGTGTTGAATAGCCACATGTAGCTAGTACTGGCATAGCTATAGAATTTTCTTTTAAGCATCTATTGGTGATCATTTTATTTCCATTTCTTCCCCACTGTTATGAAAAACTTGTAGTGCTATTGCTATGTAGAAGATGGGGATACTGCTAAATGTTCTAAAATGCACAAAATAGTTGTTGCACCACCCCCCAACATAGGGAGTTTTAACCTAAAATATCAGTTATGCTGGAGTTGAAAAACCCTGTTCTTTTGACCTGTAGTATATGTTCACTGATCCTTTGTTTTTTTCCCAGATTTTGTCTTTGTTCATCTTTTGGTATCTTTCATAAGCTAAAGTAGTCAAAGTCTTTATTCAGATGTGGTTAGTGATGAAATATAGCTAGGTTTTCAAGAAATTCAACGATGAAATACTTTGTAATTAATATTAAATCAATGTTTTTCTTTTTTTTATTATTATTTTTATTTTGTGTATATGTATATTGCTTGCATGTAGGTAAGTGCACCCGTGTCATGCAATGCCCACGGAGGACAGAAGAGACTGTCAGATCCCCTGGAACCACCACCTGTGTGACTCCAACTCCAGGAGGTTTGACAGTATCTTCTGGCCTCAAAAAGACCAAAAAAATATTCTTTATTTTAATTTTGATAACTTTTCCTTGAATTCCCTGCTATGTCCACCCCAGTTCCTACTTACTGTACCTATTCAAGGGATAACTTTTTTTGGTATTTTTTTGAGACAGGGTCTCCATGTAGCCCCAGCTGGCCTGGAACTTATTATGTAGACCAGGCTAGCCTTGAACTCACAGAGATCTGCCTGCCTTCTGAGTGTTGGGATTAAAGGGATGCACCACTATGTCTAGCCAAGTGCATGATTTTTAATGTTCATATATTTAGTTTGCAGAAAACAAGAGCTTTGAATTTTATACTTATGCCCAAGATAACTTTTGAAAAAATACTTAGTTTTATGTGTATGAGTGCTTTACCTGCATGTATGTAAGTACACCATGGGCATGTAACCAAGATGTCTTTTGACCAAACTTTCTTTTTTATTAGGAAAGTCAAAGTATATAGCACAACCTCTTACAAAGTAGTCCACAGTTTTGATTATGCAGCTTCCATCTTGAGTCTTGCACTTTCTGTAAGTACTTGTAGCTCTTTCTAAAGTTGTCACAACTTTCCTTATTAAATAAAAGTAAAATGGAATTTGGGAGGTTTATCTTTGGATTTGAATAGCCACGTTAGCTATTTGGGTTAAGACAGTACTTGAATATGAGCTTCCTCATAACAACTTTGCATGAATTTAGACTTAGATCACATTGGCTACTGTAGTAAGTAAAAGGCTGGACTAGGAAGTTGATAAATCTTGCTTCAGCAAACTCCGGGGTGTTGTAATACTTGAGAAAGGCAGATTGACTCTCTGGCACACATGCACACAGAACAGTGAAGAGGGCAGAAACAGCAGAATGAAAGGGTCTTTTTTCTTGGTAGACTATGCTTTCTGGAATGTGCATTGTCAGATTTCACAAGGAACCACATTTGGCAACAGGATATTTGAATGTGTTATATAGAAGTATCAATTGGGAGAGGAAAAGAAAATTAAATATTGTGAGGGAACAAGCTTATGGAAAGGTGTGCCACTGTGTTGTCCTTTTTTATTTAAGAGAATGCAGAAAATTATTTTCATGACATTATGTAACATTAACATTATTATACAGACTTTACGGCAGTATTTTAAAAGGACCTGTGAGAATAGAGGAAACAAGTGATTTTGTTCTAACATTTGGATAGGTCACTGTTTAGTATCTGTTTGAATGGGACTATGGCTAATAGTACAGTGCAGCAGCCATGGTAGAAATGTTTTGTAAGTAAAGGTACTATGAAGTATTACTTAGAAATGAACTGACTGATTTTTCTGATTACTATTAGCATGAAGATGAGACAATAGTTGTAGGAATGACCAATGGAATAATGAGTGTTAAACACCGAAAATCTGAAACAAAGAAAGAATCTCTTCCAAGGAGAAGGAGGCCTGCATATCGAACCTTTATTAAAGGAAAAAATTACATGAAGCAGCGGGTAATTGTGTATTTCTCATTGTGTTTTAAATGTGACATTTCTTGAGGCTGGAGAGATAGCCCAGTGGTCAAGAGCACTGGATGGTCTTGTAGAGGACCTGGCTTTGATTCCCAGCACCCACATGGCAGCTAACAACTGTCCGTAACTACAGGTCTAGGGGATCTGATGCTGCCTTCTGGCCTCTATGGGCATTGCATGAACGGGTGCAGTTTCATACATGCAAACAAAACACTCAAACACACTAAATAAATAAATTAATTAAATAAATAAATAAATAAATATGTGGCACTTCTTAGGGTAGTTAGTTCCCTTATTGCTTCACTTTACTGCAGAGTATGATTCACATGGTATGTAAGTTTATTTTTCTTTTTGCTCCATCAAAATTGGTTCTAGATTGTTAGATTTGGGACACTGTTAGAAAATAATGGGGAAACAAGGGTGACTTATTTAATGGTCTGAATCATAATGAAATAATACAGTGCTGTATCACCTTCAAAATATTATTTGTCACACACTATCTGATTTGATCATCTAAACAACTCTAGCCAGTGATGTCTCTCTTTGGTGTCTGAGAAGAAAGAGCTGTAAAGAAATTTTGATTGCTCCAAGAGTTTATCAGTGGTGTCCAGAGATATGAGAATTAGATCTTAGTATCTCTGAGCCATTTTTTATTTTTCTTTATACTCAGTCATACTGCCTGCCTAGGGGGAGGGAGGTATGAGAGAAGGAGTAATTTGCCCAGAATAGTGGCACTTGTATACTCGAATTCAAAATCGTAACTGTGAGAATACATTATAATGTGGCAATTGTGCCCTCTAGATTTGGATGTAGGAATATTACTTGTCATGTAGCAGAAAAGCACCCTGATTTTACAATGTACCACTTTATTATGAAAATGTTTATTGTGAACGGAACTTATGAGAGAAGGAGTAATTTGCCCAGAATAGTGGCACTTGTATACTCGAATTCAAAATCGTAACTGTGAGAATACATTATAATGTGGCAATTGTGCCCTCTAGATTTGGATGTAGGAATATTACTTGTCATGTAGCAGAAAAGCACCCTGATTTTACAATGTACCACTTTATTATGAAAATGTTTATTGTGAACGGAACTAGTTTTCTTTCTATACATTTTGCTTTTTCATTCAGGACGACATTATGATCAACAGGCCAACAAAGAAACACCTAGAATTGTATGACAGGGATTTGAAAAGTTTCCGAATCTCAAAGGCTCTTGACAGAGTCCTCGAGGTGAGTTAGGAACATTTTATTTTTATTTTTATTTATTTATTTATTTTTTTGATTCTGTGTGTGGGAGGCTGACTATGGGTGCAGCTGCATATGTGGAAGCCAAAGGTCATTTTTGGGTGTCTGCCTCAATTGTTTTTCATCCATCCTGTTGAGGCAGGATCTCTCACTGAACTGGGTGCTCATTGATTAGCTAGATTGACTGGCCAGTGGACCCCCAGGACCCTCTTGTTTCTGCCTCCCAGGACTGGGATTGTACCTCCACAGCCAGCTAGTGAAGAACATTTGAAAGAATTGTTTCAGTCTCTGGGTGTTGTGCATGCCTCACTTGGAGGGCTGAGGCAGACAGATTTTGAGTTTTGAGGCCAACCTGTGTTGACTTGAGGCCTAACAAGAACCGCTCACAAAAAATGTGGGGAGAGTGTAGGGGGAACCATGTTAGTGGTAAAGTTTGTGATTTACCATGTCTTGGAATTGTAAAGATAGTTGTGGTGAATTTATTGCAACATGATGATTTTCTTTTCCTTGTCTTTTTGGCTCATACTGACTCTGAAAATTTTTCTAGCCTAGTTGTGTAATAAAGACACCTGAGGTCACAGTTTCCATCATAAAAGAACTAAATCGAAGAGGAGTCCTTGCCAATGCTCTTGCAGGCCGAGATGAAAAGGAAATTACCCGTGTTCTTAATTTTTTGATAAGGTATGTTTATGCTGATGACACTTGGATTTCATACCTTAATTCCTTTTGTTACCAATGAGAGACATCTGTTTTTAGTTTGCTCTTTACAGAGAACTAGAGCAACAATTAAATTTGTTTTAGAGATTTTTTTTTTTAGGTTTATAAGTTTCATTAAACAGAAATTTTGCTTTGTAGGAATCTGTCCCAGCCAAGATTTGCCCCTGTTTTAATCAATGCTGCTGAAATAATTATTGGTAAGTAGTTTTTAAGACCTAAAACTCTTACTATGTTTATAAAAGTTGAGGTATTGGGCCGGGTATGTAGCTCAGTGGTAGAATGTTTGCTTAGTATATCTAGGGCCTTGAGTTTGAGCCTCAACACTTAAAAAAATTAAAGAACCTAAAAATATAGAAAACCTAGAAGTATAGGTATAATTTAAAGATATGAGTGTTTTGCTTGCATGTGTTTAACTGCACCTGCATGTGCAGTGCCCACAGAGGCCCGAAGAGGGTATTGAATCCCCTGGAGCTGGAGTTATAGACAATTGCTAGCTGCCATGTGGGTGCTGGGAATCAAACCTGGGGCCTTTGCAAGAGCAGCCAATGCTGTGCTATTAACTGCTAAGCCATCTCCCCAAATTTGTATCTTTTAATTAGAGAAGTATTTGTATTTAAGGTCATTATTAAAGAGTTATGTGCTAATTCTTGGTATTTTGTTGCTTTTTCCCCTTAATTGATTTTTGACTTTTTCCTCCTCTTATTTATCGTAGAGGTTTGCTGGTCTACTGGATTGAAAATGTTTGATTCTTTCCTAATTGTCTTGTTCATCCTTTCAGCATATTTATTCTTATGTTCTTGTGATTGTGCCTTTCTTTTATGTGTGCTGGATTTAAGTATCGTCTTTTTAAAAAATATTTTATTTTTTATTTATGTGTATGAGTATTACATTACATATTGCCTGCATATATGTTAGTGCACCCATGTCATGGGTGGCCCACAGAAGCCAGGAGAGGGCATTGGATCCCCTGGAACTGGAGTTACAGATGATTTTTAGCTGCCATGTAGGTGCTGGGAATTGAATTCCAGGCCTCTGAAAGAGCAGCCAGTGTTCTTCAATACTGTGCCATCTCTCCAGCCCCAAGTGTTTTAATACTTATTCTGTGGTGCTGGTTTGCTTTATTTTGTACTTTCTCCATCCATTTTAAAGGCTGACTTTTGGATGTACTTCTCTTGGTTGGCAGTTATTTACTCTTAGGGCTTAAGTCATTCTGTGCACTTCTTCCTGCAGCCAGGCACCTGATGCTTTGTTTCAGGCTTGCTTTGCTCTCTTCATTGTCTCAGTCATCACTTTTGTGTGTGTGTGTGTGTACATGTTTGTGTGTGTGTATGAATGTGCATACACAAGTAAGCATGCATGAGTAGGTCAGAGGTTGATGTCGGATGTGTTCCTCGCTCACTCTCCTCCTCATTTTGTCAGACAGGGTCTCTCACTGAACCTGCAGCTTACCCATTTAGGAAGACAGGCCAGCAAGCTTGAGGGATCTTCCTGTCTTCACCTTCACAGGGCTGGCATTACAGCTTTTCTTATGTTGGTGATGGGAATCAAACTCAGATTTTACTGCTTGCAAAACAAGCACTTTACCAGTAGCCATTTCCTCAGTCCCTAATAATCACTAATTAAAAAAAAAAATTAGTGAATTTTTGTGTATTTCATACAGAACATCTTAATCATCTTTATACCCCCTTCCTCAGTCCCTAATCATCACTATTTTTTAAAAAAAATTATTGAATTTTTGTGTATTTCATATAGAACATCTTAATCATCTTTATACCTCCTTCCCCATTGGGCCCCTTCCATATACCCATCACTTGAATTCATATATTCTGTCATTTGTGTTAAGGCCTATCAAGTCAAGTTAGTGTCCCCAGATGTCCCTCAGTGCAAGTTCATCCACTGAGGTCTAGTCAGCCTATCTAGAGTCCCTCCCTTTAAGAAAACCACCTCTTCCTCACCTAGCAGTAATCAGCTGTCAATAAAATTGGGGCCTGCTCCCCATTCCACAGTTTCTGTGCTGGGGTTTTGTCTGCTTGCGTTTGCACGGATCTGGTGCATGCTGACACCATTGATATAGGTTCCTATGATATCTAAGGTCTATGACCTCTCCAGCTATGTGTATTTGGCTAAGTTTACAGTACCACACATGAGTTTCCTCCCATTGAGTGGGCATTAAGTCCAATTTGATTATCTCCAAGATAAAAATGCCACTACTTCACCATTGTCATTTGCTGTGCTTGGTCATTACCAGCTTGCATAGTGATCTTAAAGGTATGAAAGCCGCCTTCAGGGGAGGTGGCTTCCAGGTCAGTTCTAGCTCCATTGCTCCAAATCCTGTGTCCAGAGTATGTTCCGTCTTCGGCAATAGGGTCTTATCTTCAAGTTCTGGGAGGCAGTCAAGGGCTGTGGCAATAGCCTGTATAATTTGGGGAATTTCTTGGACTATCCTGGTCAACCACTAAAAGGAAGGTTTCTCCTGTCTGGCACTGTTTCTTGTTATGTAGTCTTCAGCTATATACATGGACTCATGTAAAGATATTGTGCGTGTGATTCTTCAGTAAGTTTTTGGATTAATATGATTCCCTCTGGTTTTTTATACTGGCTAGGCACTATTCATCTCTCCTCTTTCTCTCCCTGTCTTATTCTCCCTCCCTGCCCTTCCCATTTAAAGTTTCCCCATTTCTTCTCCCTTGATAATTTCTGTATGCTGTGGTCCTACCTCTCTTGAGCTCCTTCTTCCCCTTTATCCCCTTAATTCCTTGTATAGCCCTCCCACTCCCCTCTCATTTAACTACCCCCATTTTACACGTTTCTCTTTTAGTAACACCTGTTTCTTACTTCTCTCTCTCTCTTGGGTTTAATCTTTCCTTTTACCTCTCAGGTTCTTTTCCATTTTCCTGGTTTCTGCAGTTACATCAGGATATATACTCACATGTAAGGATTTGGTGCTAGGATCCATATACTAGGAAGAACATATGTCATTTGTTTGTCTGAGTCGGTTACTTCATTTAGTATAACAGTTTCTAGTTCCATCCATTTACCTGCAAATTTCATTTCATCTTTGTTTACGGCTGAGTAGAACTCCATTGTGTAAATGTGCTACATTTTCATTATCCACTCATCAGTTGAGGGGCGTTTAGGTTGCTTCCACCACACAGAGGCCAGATCAGGTAGTCTCAGGCAGTTCCCTGTGGTTATCATCATCACTAATTTTTAACATGAAATTGGAATTAAAACCTTTCTGCCATATATTTTGTACAATTCGTTTTAAAATGCGTTTATTCAGATGGATTCATATGCTTTTGATAAATCACAAATTAATTATAAAATAATAATTGGTATTCAGTGTCTTATGTTTAGTATCATACTTTAAAATGCTGATTTTCACTTATGTGTAGCAAAATGTTTTTAGCTAATGGATTTTTCTTTCTTTTTAGATATATATCTGCCTGTGATTGGCCAGTCACCAGTAGTTGATAAAAAGTTTTTAGTACTTCAAGGACTTGTAGAAAAAGAGATTGATTACCAAAGAGAACTCCTGGAAACTTTGGGGATGATGGATATGCTTTTTGCTACCATGACGAGGAATGAAAGCACTTCTATGCTAGAACGTGTCCCTGCCAAGTGTCTAGAGACCAAGAAGACAGAATCATAGTGTTTGCTAACTAGGAATCGACTCTATCAACTATTGGAAAGAAAATATCTTCAATACATTCAAAACAATAAATTACAGAAGCAGTTCTATGGAAGAAACTGGAATAAATTATGATTGGAAAATAAGTACCTATTAAGACATGGTTTTCCATGTATTAATTTGATTTATAACATCTTCAGCTGGAAGATCTTAGTTGTCTGGTTGCAGTGTCTGATACCATGGATGAGTTGATACTGTTTTTATACAGCAAAACTCAACTGACTGTGGGGAATCAGCTAGCCCTCTGGAGAGGGTTCCAGTTGGATCCTGCCAAAGGAACAGACCTTGTTTTTTGTTCATTTTCTACTTCTAACCTGGAAAATAATAAGCTCAAATGGCAACAAAACTTCCTTCACTGCACTCTGCTCCGTGTCCTTGGGATTCTGGGCGTCTGTAGCTTGCTGTCCTTTTCCTTCGTATCATTGCAGTCTTGAATCACATGTTCTCCTTGGCTGGCCATGGACTGTGTCCTGTAAGAGTGGCAAATCACTGAGTAGCTCTGAAGAATTGATTCTGGAGACGTTTTAGAGTGTGATAAGGGTTGGTACCTGAAAATTGGGTTCTTCATCTAATGTTTTTCTTTAATCTTGCCTATCCATATGAACAAAGTCTACAGCTAGATCGTATTGGACCAGTCATTTTCCCCCTTCCCTTCAGTGTTGCAACCCTTCTGCCAATTTTTCACCTTACTTTAGGCGAGGGGAATGATAGAATTTGTCAGTTCTCTTATAATAATGGCCTTTCACCCTGTGCTTATCTTGTATGATAGCCCTCTGCTATTTTCTTATCTGTACTAGATTTCCTTTTCTCTGTGCTTTATCTTCTGGTTCAGAACCCCAAACCAGAGCGGCTTGCTTTGAAAAATTGTGTTTTTGAAACCGCGCTGTAAATTACCTTTGTTTTATAAAAAGATTCTTATTTTCTTCTTAGTTTTCTGAGGTGTGTCAATTCCTGTTGGACAGTTGGTGGCTAGTGACTCCCAGCACATTGATTCCACAGCTGCTACCTCTCCCACTTCCTTCAGTTACTCTGCTTGATGTATCCAGTAATGATGTCTTGAGCTAAACACATCCTTGAGGGAAGATTTTTGTAATGAGGTCTTCGCTCTTTCAGTTTTGTCAGTTTAGATTTTCTTCAAGCAGAAGGAAGAGGGATACTTATGTGTTAGTAAGTGCCTATGTTCAAAAACAGGATGTAGTTTCCCTTTTACAGGTTGATCAGTATAAGCAGTTGTGCAGCACAGTAGCTTGTGATAAACCAGAAGTTTGCTGCTTTGAATAGTTATGAGGTTAGTCAAGATGAGAGGCTATGATTCTAGGTTAAGAAGGGTTACTTTATTTAAATAAAACTTGTATTTAAAAAACATCAGGTATGGTGGCAGACATGGGCAGGTGGATCTCTCTGAGTTCAAGAGCAGCCTGGTCTACATAGTGAGTTCCAGGCCAGCTGGGTCTACAGGGAGACCCTGTCTCAAAAAGACCGAAAAAAAAAAAAAAAAAAACCTTCAGAAGTGTGCTGTTGATAATTAGCATTAGAGGTTAGAATTCTACCTAAACCTTTAGCTGCTGTCTCCTGTGTGTTTCTTGGATTATTCATTTGATTCTCACCACAATGATCCAAGGTTGGAATTACACTCACTGAGTTTGGATTAGTTGGTTGAATACGCTCAGGTCCCTAAGCTTGAGTTCCTTATCTTCCAACACTGGTCTGGCCTGCTGTGGCCATAACTGTTCATTCCCTTTAATAAGACTTCACTGAGTGCCGCAGCTCCTGAATACAATTTGTAGTAATTAGAAAATCTTAAAAGGATTAGGAACTATTTCCTATAGCCATCAATATAATTATTTAAGTTCAGGAGTCATTTTCCTATTAATTGAGGCTATTTGCTGTGTCTTAACAGAAAATCCCATATAGATTTTTAGACTTGTGCTTTTATTTAAGAGTTTACTATGGCTGCAAAAATACTGAAATGTTCCAGAGAGCTTTGTCATTTATGTTTAATTTATTATGTTTATTCTGAGTTAAACATTTGGGAAGGTTTTGTTTGTTGAGTCAAGCAAAGTACCGTTTAAAAGAAAGTCAGATTTCTTAAACAACTGTGCTATTAAGTTGCTCAAAGGAGTTGATGTCAAATGGGACTGGTAGAAAATTTGTTCAACTTTAATGAGTTTTTCTAAACATTAATTAGATTATTAAACTGTAGTAGTTTTCTCAGTAGAAGTTTTAATGTGTCTAACCAGTGACTGTGAATAGTTTTCTCCATGAACAGTATGCCCTTTGAGACTCTAAAAAAACATTTGCTGGGGAGGTAGGTTATAATACCTGTTCTCTTGGCTGCAGTTTTCTGGGCCGGGGTAGTATACCTGACTTAGGCTATATCTACAAATTTGGACTTAAAATAAAATTATTTGTCTAGAAAAATGTGAAAATGTGAGGGTGTGGGAATCCTGTGTTTGGTTGGGTCTTTTTTTTTTTTTTTTAGAAAAGAATTTAAGTGAATTTATAACTAGAAATATTTAAATATTACCAAGTATTGGAAAACATGTTTATGGTACAGAGGAACCCCCAAAGTATACTCTAGGAGATACATAGAGTCAATGACAATCTTCCTCTTTTTCCTTTATCCTGAGGAAAAGCTAGTGAGCTTCAGCTTTAATTTTTTAAGTTAAAAAAATGAACATTTTTACATATATACTAAAAGTTTTATTGTTAAATGCCTAAGTTTTTAAGTCACTAGGTTTTGATAGGTAAAGTAGGTGATGGATGAATCCAGTTGATCAGGAGAAAGCACCAGGACACAGATAAAACTCCAGCGGAATAGAGTTTATTAGCAAGGGAACACATGGGACAGATTCCCTTCTGGGCAGGGAAAATGTCTGACCCAGGTCGTGAGCTGGGGTCTTTTATAGGGGGAGGCTTCGGGAGTGGGGGTTGCAGAAGGCTGGAAGATGTATTTTTTAAAGGTTAGGTGGGCAGACTTTTAAAACCTGCCCCCTTTGGAGATCAAAGGGGAAGCCTGCTGTGTTGGCCAAACAATGGAGAAAAGTCTGCTTCTCTTGACTTCAAAGACCAGGGTGCTTATTAATTCGGTTCCCTTTTCTCAGGGGCTTTCGAGGTCTGTGAGGCCCTGTTGGTGAGGGGCGGGGCCATCTGAACCTTAACAGATTTCCTAGTGACTTCAATGGAATCAGCAGTCATTGATCTAACCCCACCTCCAAGACTGGACCGTTGACACAATTTGACAGGCTTGACACCATGAGTGACACCAACACTGTCCCACAGTGTTCACTGGCTGAATTTGGGGTGATGGTTGACCATGAGGTTGTATACATGGATTTTCCTCTGTTTTATTTCATTGCTTAACAACTGCCCACTGGAAGGTGCTAATGAGCTACAAACTGGAAGTGAGTTTGGGGCGTCTTTCCAAAGATTCTGAGACTTTGGTTGGATTTTTAAGCTGCTTGAAGAACTGTCTCTTTCTGATCCATTTAATTTTGTATTTTCAGTTCTAGATGCCCATTTTAGTTCTTCAGAAAGCATCTCGCCTGGATTCAGGGATCCATCTCCAGCATCATGGTATTCTGATGCTAGCTGCCACTGGACTGCTTCCTGTTTGGGCTGGTGAAGTTTCTTCTTAAGATCTCTGCTGGTTTTCTTATAGAAATAAAGATCTTTTTCCAACTGTTAGATTTTATCTTCATATGTTTTTAAAGTTTCTATAATGTCTTCTCCATCTTGCTCTTTGAAATGATATAACAGCAACTGCATCTTTTGTTCACGTTCCTTTTGCTGGAGGATCAGTCTCCTGTCACACTGCAATTTCAGATGCTCCAGTGCAGATTCTAATTCACGAACCCTTATCTCGTTTTAGAACCTTCAGTTTCATCTCTTTACTCTGTAATTGTTTACGCTCAGCTTCTCTCAAATTAACCACCTTATTGAAATATTTGAAAAGAACAGCTCTAATCTCAACAAGGTTCGGGCAAACTAATTTCTCCAAAATATTTGCTTCACTCAGAGAGATTCTGGAATGATGCTCTGAGTTCTGATGACTCTGGATACTTTCATTCTTGTATTCAATTGCAGTTTCCAAAGCTTCAATCCTCTCTTCAAGTTGGAACAGAAGATGTTCTTCTTTGGGTGACAGCACTCCCATTTTTAAGGTTTTCATCTACACTGGTTCTTTGTCTCTGGAGCTGATTCCTTCCTTTTTGGAGAGCTTGAACTTGTCCTGAATCTTTACTTTCTCATCACTTGTGCTGCTCTCAAGCTGCAAACTTAGACAACGCTTGGTCCAACAAGTTCAGACGAGCTGGTATTTTCAAACTATCTGTGTTTAAGGCCTGACTAAATCTCAATTCCTTGTTTTCTAGCTGGCTCTTCTTGTAGCAGGGCTTCCTTCTTAGAAATTATAGTTTCCTGTTGCTTTAAGTCATCTCCCAGCATCTCTAATTCTTGGTGTTGGTTCAGAACTTTCTCTACTTCATCTAACCATTTCTTTTGCTCATCCAATTTCTGGAGGTGGTCTACACTCTATAAGGACCTTTTCTTTTCAAGTTGAACACATCAAGGTCCTCAGCTTTCCATTTTCAACCTTCTTGTTCTGTTTTTTTAACTGTAGCTCTTTGATTTTTTTGTTGATCCCTCTTAATTTCTGCATCTAGTTGCTTTTTTCTTGTTTTCTTCTCGAAGTCTTTTTGCAGCTGTACTTTCTGATATTTCAAGTGATCCACATTTTGCTGTAGTTCATTGGCACGTTTCTCATTTTGGGTTGACAGTGATGCCAATTTCTTACTGTCTTGTTGCTTCTTTTCTAAGACCTGAACTCTCAGCTTTGCTGCATCCATCTTTTTATGGAACTCTTTCTGTAATTTTACCTTCAAAGCAACATCAGAAAGATCTTTGTTTTCCCGTTCTTATAGCTGCTTCTGTGTTTCAGTTAGTTGTACTTTTGCCTGTTCTGCTTCATGTTGCAGTTTTTTTACTTTCAAAGAATACTGTCTACTTACAGACTTGGCATTGTTACCTGTTTTTATTAACTCTTTAATCAGTTCTTCCTTCATCCTGTTGTTCATTGTAAGTTCTCTCATTTTCTGTTTAGCTTTATTAAGTATGAGTTCTGAAGTCCTTAATTTTTGAAAATTTGACTCTTGACTGTCCTGGAGACATTCCATCTTCAAATTTTCATTCCTCAAATACGATTTTTGTGTTTCATCTTGAGTATCATTCAACTCAACAAAAGAGCAAACAGAACCTAGTTTCTTAATCCATGAGCGACTTCGACACCTAATTCTAGATTTCTCCTGGCCTTCTGATTACTCATCATCACTGTTATCCGAAAACTGGCAGTGGAGAACTTCATCTTGTTCTTCTAAGTGACCCAACAGCATTTGACTTTGTGTTCGAAACCCAGCCAATATTTGATCCAGAGAGTATGTAGGAGTACTTGAGAAGACCTTGAAATCTTGTCTGGATGGGACATAAATGTAATGTCCCAGATGAGTATCAAATGGTACAGCATATGGTCTCTTTTCAGGAATCCTGATATCAGGCCCATCTCCACAATTTTCCTTAGTTGAAGATGTCATCGACAGGTTAAGTTTTGTTACTTCTTCATTCAGCTGATCCACAAAAAACTGCTCTTCTGTTACAGCTTCATTCTGCTATTTCTTAAGTTCTCTCTTCATCTGGAGAACTGCAACATGCTCTGGTCCTTCTTCCAGGTGTCCAGGACCCTGTTTTCCTGGGCATGAGATGTGGACAGTCTTCCTGACCTCTTGAGTCATGTTGAACCATTCTTGTAGTCTGTACTGCTGCTTCTCGTTTAGTCTGACAGGATCTTTTAAGTCTACCAGGAAAGTAAAAGCTTCCTCTATACCATTTTGGTAGCCTAGACATTCCCCTTGGAGCTGAGCTACCTGTTCCTCAAGAGACTAGATCCTATTTTGATCAGGAGTGCCCTCTGAAGGGACCTGGCTAGTTTGGCTGACAGTAGCCCGAGGACTCTGCAAAGCTTCTTGAAGCAACTAAATTTCAAATTTCATTTCATCCATTTGATCTGACTCGGGGCTGAAGTTTAAAGTAGGTTTGTTTCTAATGTTCCGTGCTCTGTTAGCATATTTGAGAGAATTTAAGGACTCATCAAAATCCGAGGAGGATGGGCTGACACGTGATCATGACAGTCTTGGCACTGCCTCCCAGGGAATCTTTCAGAAGCCGAGTAATTTTAGCATCCCTATATGGAATATGTGAGCTCTTCCTGAGTGGGTCCCCAAGGGCACTTACTATGTTTCCTAAAGCAAGTAACCCACTGTTGATCTGAATGGACTCTGAACCATTTACCCGTTTTCCCTGTTTTAGTCACTCTTCTGATCCAGCCAAATCCACAAAATGGAATTTGGAGACAATGTGCCGACGTGAATACCACTCTCCACCTTCAGGTGCCTCTGCATTTTTCTCAACTTGACAGACATTTATTGTAAAAATTGCATGTGATCTACTGGAGTATTCATCTGGGTGGTGCTTGTATGTCTGGCCGCATTCCTTACCTCCAGAAGACTCATCACTTCATCCATGATCTCTACTTGGCATTCCTTGGCCCCAACAGTCACTGTATTTCCTTTTTCCTCTTCTCTGAAATAAAGCTCCTTCATGGAAGTCTCCAATTCTAGAAGATCTCTTAGGTCTTCCTTGTATACTTGTATATATGACACATTTATATTAAAGTCAATGCTAGGATTTTCAGAGATGCTTTGAAATATTTCTTGGCTAGCTCGAGGAGTGTGATACCCTTTTGACCATCCACAAGTGAAGCAGCATGGCCTTCTCCAATGGTGTATGTCTTCCCAGATCCAGTTTGTCCATAGGCAAAAACAGTTGGATTATAGCCCTCAGTGAGTGACAACACTAGGGGCTTTATACGTGCATTATAAACTTCATCTTGAGTGGAATTTTTGCCAAAAACAAGAAAAAGCTATTTCCAGAGAGAGCGATATGTATGTTGAAAGAAAATAGACAGTGACTGTCCTGCCTCATTAGATAGAATAGAGGAAACTATCTTAGTTCTGGATGACTCTCTCCCCATTACCCTCCCTATACTTCTCCCAGTAAGCAGTCCATGAAGTTCTTTTAGATCCCTCAAAATAAGTTTTTTTTTGTTTGTCTGTTTGTTTTGTTTTGTTTTTTGCTTAGGTGAGTGTGAGAGTGCACA